AATATTAGAAACAACATTATTATTAATAAAATTCAAAACATCAGCGTTACTACCAATAACAATATTTTTTTCTTCTTTAATCTTAAGCAAAATTATTTTAAGAAAATTAAAACAATTTTTTACTAATACTAGAATTATAACAATTTGTACCACACGCAATAAATCTAATTTTAATACTTTTCTAATGTTAATACTTTTGACTTAGAATATCTGCACACCAGTATACCACATGAACAAATTATTGAAATTTGTTGTGGCATTTTTGATAAATATTTATTCAAGAAAAATATTGATCAATCTTATTGGATGGATATTTACAAGTTTAAATTCTTTGAAAATGTACTTTTAAATGGCCTTAATTTTTATAAGCAAAATATTCCACAAGGCAATTCCTTTTCTGATGCTTTTACGGATATTTTTTTACATTTTTTGAAGCTAAATTTATTGAGTTGAATGATTTTAATGCTTTTAGACACATTGATGATTTAATTTTATTTGTGATAATTATGATTTTATTTTTAATATGCATCCTAAAGATTTGGTTTTGAAGAAAACTAATAAAAGTTGCTTTTAGATTTTAAAATTGAAAATTTAGATTTTAAAATTGATATTGTTGATAAACAAATTAAAATTGGTGTTTATGATAAAAGAAAGACTTTTAAATTTAAAGTTATTTTTTTCTGCAATTTTGATACTAATTTGTGCGGTAAAATTTTCAAAAATTTAGTTTTTTTCAATCGTTTAGAGTTAATAAAAGTTGTAATAATGTTTGCGGCGATGCCCTGCTCCTACATTTTCATCTTACCTAATGCGAAAGGGCACTTGCACTTCAACTTGGAGTGACGCATTTAAAAACCAGTTTTCCGCCAGCAACCAGGCTACTCCCATTTTCCCTCGTGCACTAGTACGTGATGCACGANTGTGCACTTGGACCTGGTTGGCCCTTTCCCACCGTCCGATGGCTACGAATACTTGTTGACGTGCATTGACCGCTTCACAAGATGGCCAGAGGCCATCCCTGTTCCTGATATGTCAGCGGAGACCACATGATTTACCACATGTTTAAAGTTTTCAAAAGGCAAAAAGTAATTTTTTTTTTAAAATTTAGAAAATAATGGTTTTCCTTTTAATTTTTGTACTATTGATTTTAAAATTAAGAAAATGATTGGGAATTATTAGTTTTGTTTTTTCTTTTAATAAGGCAAGATCAAGTCTTGACCGAGTTGCCCCGGTCAAGCATTTCTATTAATGATGTCAATACTTTCGCGCTCTTTTTTTTTCTATCCTTTACGTTTATTTCAGTTCAGTTGATGTCTGGCAGTCAGTAGTGTAATTTGGTTATTGGATTTATGTTTCATTCTTTTGTGCGTATTATTCTTCTGTATTTTCTTTATGTATTTCGTATTGTATTCTGTTCCAGGACTTAGGCAAAATCTTTGGGGTACAGAGAGAGTAATTTTAAACATTTGTCGTGCTCTCTCGATAGAAAAGGTTTTGCTTTTATGGCTTCCAGAGCTGGTACCCCCTGAAGACGTCAGCTTCGGTTGTCATATTTATTCATTTATGTATTCATTTTTTTCATTATATTTTTACCATATTTTAATTAACTGTTTTCGCGTCTGTAGCGATGGAATCTTGTATCAAAATTTATAACCACGTTACAACTCGCTAGAATGTTTAAATTTAAACTGAAGATCTGCGTCTGATAGCAGCGCAAGTTATAATGGTTACCTAATCACTGAAGAAACAAAATGTATCGTTTTTTGAAATGTTGACTACATTCAGACTAGCTAGAGGGAACTAAACTGAAACTTCATGCCTGACCGTAATACTGACATTTCGTAATGGGTGCCTCCAGCCCCCCCCCCCCACTTTAGTAAATTGACAATTCGACCACTTTCTGTCTCTAGTTTAAAACGTTTCCACATTGCTCAAAAAAATGTATAGTATCATAGAATCCATTGATAATCAAAGTGTGAACACAAGAAAACTTGACACAAACCTAAATTGAAGGAAATACTCTAAAACGTTTACCAAAGAGAACAATAAATTTATTTCGGCCACACAAAACAAACAAAAAACATGTCCTTAATTTTGCTTTCAATACCACTTCAATTTTCCACACTTGCTTTGACAGTGTTGCGCATTTCATCTTAAATGTAACAAAAATTAAACTATTTATACCTTCTTTTTAACTCAACTTGGAAAATGGAATTTTCATTTTAGCGTGTAACGAATTGGTTAAAATAAAATTTTAAATTTATGGGACATTTTGCTTATTGTTGCTGTAGAATCATTTTTAAACAAAAATCAACTTTGCGTACCATATTTTGTTGCGAAATAAGAATGGGATACTTGCAGGTGACGTAGTGTGGGTATCTTGATTGGTTGTTGAAACATGGCTTTGTTTACGTCAGCAACTGTTCTTTCAACTCTATTTCGAGTAACTTAATCAAGTATCAGTTCTCTTAAGTGACACATTCTATATTCTTACATAAAGATTTTAATTCTTTCACAATATATGTTTTACTTAACACAAAGACAGGCACATAGCCATGTAGAACATAAACAAACTAATTATATATCGAAGTTGCCAGGTGCACAAAACAAAAATAAATCATGGTCGCAATAAAATACATAAACTAATAATACAATACTAATTCAAGTAAAAGATGCAGACGAGAAAGAATTATATTTCAACAAAATCGATGTGCGATGCGGCCCTGCATTTAATTATCTTTACGTTAAATAACATTCTAACTTATCAGCTGACGTCATAGGTCACATGTGTGGGTATGAGTAATCTTCTTCTTCTTCTTGAAGTGCAAATACTCAATCATCGTTTTTCAGAATGGTTTCGTATATGGATAAAAAGAAAGAATTGATAGAAAAAAATTTCATAAAGAAACTCAGTATTTTCGGTGAAGTAAAAATTACAACCATACGAGTACCCAACGATATTCAAAGAAAAAAAAATTCCATCAAATCAATCAATCATTCTAAATTCAAAGAAAAATTGAATACTTGTGAATTTATTTATCTACTTGAGGAGGAATCGTTGATTTAAATCAGTACTGCTTGCTTCGAAATAAAGTAACATTATATCTTCCATTGGAGTATATTGTCGAAAGTACCAGTTCTTTCACGAGCAATTTCATATCCTTAGTATTATTATGCACAGTAAGCAAAATAAAAAACGGAACACCCTGAATAACTTTTGATCTAATGATATAATATTCCCGTACTATGTTTTAATCTCAATAGTGTAAAGGGGTGACCTCAAATATGCTAATTAATTGTTGCAAACGATCTTTTAAGTTACAAATTCAGACACAAAAAAAGTTCTTTCTCTGAATAAACAATTGTAGGATGGATTCGGATTCTCGAAATACGGGGAATCATCGCAATCTGGAAAATAGGGTTACAATAGTTTTATCAGGAGAATAATCTAAAATTTTGATCCCCTTTAATGTTAGTTTTACGCATTTAGTCATACCTGAAAAAATTTATAAGTAAATCGAAAAATGATTGCGCGTAGTTATAAAATTTATTTATGCAACGGTAATTCCATGACAAAAATAATCTTTAGTGATTATTTATTTTAATTAATACAAGTCGAAAAAATTCTGTGCACAAATGTTTGCATCATTTTAAAGAATGTAATTTTATATGGCAAAACTTGTACGAAATCGGTCGAATATTTTCTGAGTTATCAAATTTTAAAAATGTCGTATATTTGAGGTTTCCCCTTTTAGCCGTTAAGATTGAGTCCTAGTACATGGAGATCTGATCATTATTCACAGGGTGTTCCGTAATTTCTATTTATTTATTTTCTTGCTATCATTCATTGCAATTTTGATTATTATTTTGTAAGACTTCGCGAAATCCTAATTAAAATAAATTGCGTGGTTATTTTGGAGGTCTGGTTTTTATATGTGGTCAGGAAAGTAAGAAGTATTGAAAAAAAAATATCCTGAATTAGACAATGATAATTTACCTAAAATATTCATTTAAAGTTTAAATAATATTAAATGTTTAAGAAAAAAACTTCAGAAATTTGCATTAATTAGGCCCTTTCTAAGGACGCAAACGGTTCTTTTATGCGTTGTTATTTAAAATGAATGCACTTTCAGTTTGGCATTATTTTAAATTATCGAGTACTCTCAGTTTATAACAACCCTCGTTGAACAGCCGATCCAAGTTTTTTTGGGGTTTACGACTACCAATGTTCAACTCCGTAACCTTGTGATTTTGAACCCAGAAGACAAAGGAACTCCCTGTATCAAGCTAGTCTTCAAGGAGGACGTTTTGAAGGAACTAACACTCGATTGCGTTACAAGGGGTGGAAAACCAATTACACAGCAAGGGGATTCTAAACCATGATCTGTCTACCACTGAGGATGTTTTATGTCAGCTTTGTGGTCTGTGCGAGCCCGCAGCAGAATTCGTATCAATCAACTACCATTGGGATTTAATCCTGTGTCCTCTCCTCACGAGGCATCATCATTTGACATGTTAAAAAAAAATTGAGGTGATGGGGCATAAAGTTAAATGATTTCTGCTTAGTGGTCCGTAAATATCAAAGATCCGTGAGACCACGGTAGACCACTGCTAATCCACATTTAGAGGTGTTGCAATATGAAAAAACTACCACTTTAAAATTAAATCAAAAAATTATATGAATAAAGCTTGTGACACAATTAAAACTTCTTTCTGGAGTTCTTTTCTTCGGTATAAAAAAAATAAACTAACTTTGAGACTCTATATTGGAATTACGGATTTAATTTGACATTATAATGGGTGCTAAAGTTATTAGTGTGTTTTTATCGATCCTACTAAAGAACTTCAAATGCATTTTTTTTTCCATTTATAATAAATAAAAACATTTTTCTTCTCTTTGAAAACATGGACTTGAAATTCAAAACTGTAATAATTGAGTGGAATTTTGAATAATAAATAATACTAACAACAAAAAAGAGAATTAAAAAGAAACTACTAACTAAAATAATTAGATTACTTTATTTGAAAAGTAAACATAACCTTAAAAATAGCAGAAATACAGCGCTTATTATTAATTATTTACAAATATGCTCTTTGGCAATACAATTTCCAACTGAGCAGAATGGATATTTTGAAAAATGTAAAACATGTTTCTTTCATTCCAATCATTAAAACATTATTTAACAGTTTCATGACTTGTGTAATTATACATTTATCACTTGGGATGCACAGCCTTTCTCGGAACAGGACTGTGGAAAAATGATGCATTCAGTTTTTATGCCAGTAAGCAATAAAAACATCAATTTATCTAAATTTGCCACTAATGCTGTATAATTAAAACCTCAAATATATATTTTTTTAAAAATGTGCTTACTTTCAAAGTAAAGAAAAGTTGCATTTTTCACATGCTCTTTTTTCACACATAATTTAATATAGCGTTTGTCCTAAATTAAACTATATCATAACAAACTTTATCAAGCCCAAAAAAGGAAAATAATTTTAGTACTTTTTATAATATATATAAGCTAATTACAACTTTTAAATCATAATATAGTTTGAATAAGATATGCTTGAACATCCACAAATGATCTTAAAATATTCTGCTTTAAGAAATATCCACATGTTTTTAAGAATTGTATTGAAATTTGTTTGAAAAACAATTAGAAGTTATTTTTATACAAGTTATACAGCATTATTTAACAATATTTTTTTCAGCTATATAGTTGTCAGTGCTCACTGACCACTGGAGGGTCACAAGGTTGTGCATGACCACAATGAGATGATTTGATTCTGACAAGTCCTAAACCAAAGCCAAAATAAAATAATTATTTTTTCTTGTCTGATATGGTGTATTTATCATAGTTCTTGGTTGGATCATAGGGTTCCCACCTGGAAGCAGGAAAAATATGCTTGTTTCTTTCATACCAACTACGAAGAAGGACCTTCCCCGCGTGGGATTCATCTTTTTCAACTGTTGCGTCACTCACAAGGCGAACGTCGTCATGGACATCAAAGCTGAAGAGGGGACCACTTTTTCCTCTCGCTTTTGTTACAATAAAATCATAGAATGTGTAATGATGAGGGATTATCAAGTCCTCTTTTACGTACATCAACTGATCCCCTGTGACTGCTCTCAGTTCGTGAAATTCCTTCCTTAACACTTCTAGGCATTTCTATAGAAAAGAATTCAATTTATTTCACATAATTTAATTTACAATTTCAAAATATTACTTCTGGTGTCATTCAAAGCAATAGGGCAAAATTAGGAAATTTTGCCACTAGTGGTTAGCTGTAGAATTTTTAACAGTAGCCCCTTTTCTAAAAATTGAAAATACAAAAAAAATAAAAACTTCTGATATTAATAATATTATTTCTTTTGAAGTATTCCTTAAAATAGGGTCGTTTTTAAAAGGGAAAATAATTATAAAATCTAATATAAAATAAAGCAATCTTCAGAATATTATAAAAAATTAATATAATAATTGCATATTTATTTAAAATAATAATAATACTAACTAAATGCACATGAAAGCTTTATACATGAGAAACGTTTCAATGAAAAAATGGGTGACTGAGTGGCAACTGGCAAACAATTTTTTAATCGCTCTGCAGAGGATCAAAATTGCGATGGCATGTCATTGGATCATCCTCAGGGATATTTCCCATACTGTCACCAATAGCCCATTGTGGAGCTCCAGTGAGACATAAATAAAATACTTACTTACCTAGCCATTCATTTTGATCTATATTCCAAGCAGCCATGCCAATTTTCAATTGATGTTTATATTTTAGTAAAAATATCTATGAGATGATCAGTTGTCATCAGAATTTCACATGAAAATTTATCTCAATCTACAGATTTCATTGAAAAAGTGATCAATATAATAAAATATCTTACACGCAATATTTATGAAAAGTTACAATAAAAATTCGTTTCTTCAGATGTCGATCTGCTACAGGGAAGATTACCTATCTCTTTTTCACTTAAATAGCGACAGCAATTCAATTTTATGAAAGTAATGCACCCAAATTTCTATTCAATAAAATATATTATTTTTACTTAATAAAATATATATATCCAAGACATTCAAAATCACGCATAAAATGTTGCTATATTTTGATTCATTTTTAATGTACTTTTAACAAAGTAATTCCATATTGATAGATGCAAAGAGTTAGTCTGTCACACTAGAATTGCTCATTTTACACAGGGAGCGTAGCCAAACTTTTTGACAAAAAATAAGCACCTTTTAAGCACTCAAAAAATATTTTAAAAATTTTATAATTAGGACATGTGCAATCAGAAAAATGTTTTCTTCTTATAGTTGAAAGTTCTTCATATATACATTAATAAAATGCAAAATAATTTTCTAAGACTATAAATGATCATGATAAAATAACTAGTTTCTGACAAAGAACTCTTTTCTTGATTATATTAGCCACCATAAAAGTGAGAAAAAAAATCTCATTTTTAAAAAAAAAAAATTAAGCACTTTATAAAAACACCCAATGAAAAAAGCACCTTTAAGGGTTTTTAAAACGTGAAAATAAGCACCTTTAAACACTTTTTAAAATTGCTACGCACATTGTTACAGTCCTGGGTGTAATCATTATTCATCAAAAGAAAAAAAAACTATAAATTCTTCATGTTTAAATTTTTTTAAATAAATTATTGAATCAATATTATGCTTTAAAACTATTAATTATGCCTTTTTTGTACCAAGTGATGCAGTTTCAAGACTCTATAATTTACAATCAGAGAATTATACTAATTAGCAAAACAGGGTTTCCATTCAATTTCAGAAAAAAATTATAAAATATGTTAGGAATTATCATTTAGTACAGTAAGCATTAAAATAAATCAGATAGACAATAAATAAATTTTGATAAGTCATTCGAAAAATTGATATTTTTCTGATGAAAAATAATAAAACCTGTTATCTACCATTCTTTGGTACCGTAAGCATTTGAATAGATCAGATAGACAATAAATACTTTTTTAAACATAAATTATTTAGTATTTGTAATGACTTCTCAAATATTTGTAATAAAATAGCTAGCAAATAAGTTCAAAATTACCAATAGGAATTGATAAATACTGTGGCCCTTTTTCATTTTCACACTTCTTCTATGACCAGAACCATCCCAATAGCTGAAAGTAATCTCAATTTCTTCATTTTTTAATTTTTCTTGCTTTTGGACCCACTCCTGAAAAAAACAAATCAAGAACTACAGAAAAGTATTATGTTGGTCATGATCCAACAATAAAATATGTTTCAAGTCTTTTTAACAACTAGATAAAATACATTGTATACAAACATGTGATGTCATGGTCAAAATGGTACTAAAAACAAAAAAGTAATCGCAAAATATTTTATTACATTATGTATATACATATTTCTTTTTTTGAAAAAATCAAGGAGCTAAAAATATGGTCGAGAAAACCAGATAGATTTTAATAATTTCAAAATAATTTTACATTTGAAATATTTCACTTTAAATTAATTTACTATTCACAATTTTTTTAAAGAAAACTTTTTGCTCCAGGAATTGACATAATAAAATCATTAGCATGCACACATTACTTATAGAATAAATTCCATTAATAGGATTTGAATTTTTTTTTTAAAAAGATAAAAAAATTAGTTTTAATTTTTTATCTAATACCACAATACATTAAGAATATTTTCCCAAAGTTTTAAGTTAACCCAATATAAACAGAACTAAGAGAGAGAAAATGCTTTTGAAAATTTCTTTAGACTAAGTCAATTTAATTGTTCAAAAAATACTTTTTATCTTTCAATTAACCAGAAATTTGTTTTTTTCTCTGTCTCTGTTAGTATATGATATAATTCGACCAAATAACCTTCTGGTAACAAAGTTCTAAGCAATGTCTGTTATATATTCATTACTTTATATAATGTTTGATTACTACAGAGCATATGGGATACGCAGATGCTAAGTGCAGTGACTAAGCCTTAAATTGCATATTACAAAGTTACTGTCTTAAAGTTCAACAGTTAACGAAAATTAAAAACATCAAATATAAACTTTGTCCCTGCAGCAGAATTTTTTTGAGCTATCTGCGACAAAACTCTCTAGCACTAACATCTTTCTGCACCTTTAATAATAACAAACATACATGTTACTAATTTAAAATAACAAAAGTGTGGTTGTAGTGTATCCACCACTACAAAAATACAATTCCAATTCACTAGTATATAAGACATGTTAACTCGATTCTATGAGAGGGTACCTTTGCATAGATGAAGGTTGGCATGGTCGATAAATACTAGCCCCACACTAGGCGACCTGCGAACGTGATGTGAACACGCCTAACTTGACAGTAATGACCACTTTGATCTGAACACCCCTACTTCGATGGATGATCCACATTGAACAGTTGACTTGCTACTTGTAACTGCGACATTATCCACCTCCTCGCGCTGTTGCTACTCAGTCTCAATCACACACAACGTATTCACACGACTGCTAATGGCAACACAGGAGCGACCATGACCGTGAACTTAATACAACTCTCACAATCAGCACACAAAAGTACAGTGATCTTAATACAGCTCTCCCTGCTTCTCACAAAACAGCAATGAATCAACTGGTGCTATCCGTTCATCAAATTCCATCATAGATATAATTCTGGTGGGGGAGTACTGTAGTGTATCTACCACTAAAAAATACAATTCCAATTCACTAGCATATAAGACATGTTAACTTGATTCTATGACAGGGTTCCTTTTCATAGATGAAGGTTGACATTGTCGATAACAAATCTCACCACAACTGTGTTTACAAAAGAAAAAACTATATATATATAGTTTTTTTTTTTTAACTGAACATGTAATAATTTTTTATTCTAATATTATGGGTGATATTCTCGCATTTTGTTGGGGTGGAAACGCACGTACTATTTACTTCTTCACATTTTGTAAATAATCATCACATTAAAAAAAATTATGAAATATCATGCAATCCGTGGTAGTAATTTCTAAAAAAAAGGACAAAAAAAATATCGACGACAAAATTACGTAAATCGGACTCCTCAAAGCGTGCTTCGTTTCGAGATTAGGCTGTTGTAATAAATAATATCGTATAAAAAATATCAGACTTAAAAACTATGGAGAAATCAACAGCAATAACTGCCAGAAATTCAATAATTATTGCCTTAAAAAGTAATTACTCAAATGCACAATTTGAATTTTCTAGATTGCATGAAACATATGGGGATATTTGGAATCCTCGTGAAAATCTATACCAATAAAAATTCCAAAAGTATAACCGAAACATTACATTGATTTAGGATACTATTGACGTAAATTTAGTGTGCCAAAGGTGACTATCTAAATGCATGATTCAAATATTACGTGCAGATTTCTGTAGAAAAGAAAAGTTTTTTTTTTTCACTTTTCAAAAGAGAAATCTTTCTGCAAGAATTCTGTAACGTTCTGCGATAAAGTCGCCGTGTTGCTGCGACTCTGCCACAGAAACTTTGTAGCAGAATGTGTTAAAAGCATTTTAAAGAATTTCAGAAAATCAGCTTTAAAATGTAAAAAACCATGAGATGGCTCTTCTTTAAACAACTTCATTCAGTAGATTTATAAAAAATAATGTTCTAATAAACAATTAGGGTGCACTTCAATCAGGAAAAATTTATGTTCTGAGAATTTAACTTTACATACTCTTCGACTCAGACATTATAATTATATTGACAAACTAAAAATTAAATATAAATCAAATTAAATTTAACAAAAAAATTATTAAAAATTATAAAAAATTATTTAAAAAATGTATACCTGACGAAGTTCTTCACGTAATTTTCGTTCTTCTTCCTCTCTTTCTCTATCAGGTAAAAAGCTAGTGTCCACATCTGGATTTTTAGTAATTTTCTTCTTTTTTATAGCAGGCTCTAAATTGCTGTTGTCCGAATCTGATAAAGTTTTTACGTCTTTACATGACGAAACACTTTCCTCTTCTTCACTACATTCTTCTTCTTCCTCATCATCCATTCGAAAAGAAAGAGCTGCAATCTATATTTTTAAAAGAAAAATTGCGTTACAAGTCTGAAATGTATAAAGGGTGCTCGAAAATTGGTCGAAGAAATTGAGAGATGAGATAAAAGTCTCCAAGAGGGTGAAAACTTACCATAAAAAATGGGGTCACAAATAATGTTAAGAGGATAAAAATGGCAAACAAAAAAAAAACACGAGCAGGCTAAAAATCTAGAGGAGGTCAGTTGGGGTTTGACTTACCTGCATTAAGCGCTCATATTCTGTTTGCTTTCAGGTCTTTATGACGCTTTTAGGCCATTGTAGACTATACACAGCAGGTACCACTTCAAACAACTCATGTAATCATCATCATCATCAATGGCTCGTCCGCCCAGGGTGGGCCTTGGGATTCTCAAGAAGTTTTTTTCAGGCTAACCTTTTTCCTGCTAGCATTTTCCAATCTTTAACTTTTAAGATCAAAAGGATCTTTTCTGGGCCATCTACTCATCTCAAATTCGACCTGCCTCTTTTTCGTATGCCAAGTGGTCAGGCATTGAAAACTCTTTTTGTGGTACTGTCTTCATCCATTCTGATAACGTGGCCGGCCCATTTTATAACTCATGTAATAACTAATAAAATACATCAGTCTGCAATTAACAAGTTTAGAGTATCTTTAGTCATTGTTTTCCATCATGATATCCAAACCAGTTTGGGATTCTTTCACACTTTTAATGTGATCTATGATTTACACAGAAAGTTTCCATCCTCTTAATGCCTTTTATCTTCACTCTGAATATATTGGGCGAATTTTGGAGCACTTCGAATAAAACAATTTTACAGTAGACTCTTGTATAAAACAAAAATACAGTAGACAAAAATAAAGAAAAGGAAGGTAAAAAAGTTTGAATTAATGAAGATAATAATTACCATGAAATTACTAATAATTTTAATGATGATTTACTTCAGTTGAAAATTATTGCAATAAACTAGAAATTCATAAACATTCAGCTATGTGTGAAAAGGTTGGGGCAATGTAATGATGAACCACAGTTTCAATTTGCACAAAGAAGTGTTTTCTAGGGAAAAGTAGAACACAATTCTCATGCAGGCAAATATGATGTTTTTTGTGCTGTTATCAAGTGGAAAGTCCGAAAAGCAGGTGGTAATAGGTCAACCTATTTAAATTAAGTGCTTTAATCAGTTTGCTTTGAGGCATTGGGGATCAACATCCGCGTGTGAGTGAATATTATATCCAACAGGTAATCTCTATGTAACACTCCTAAGAAAGCAGGTTGGATGCACGGAACCTCTGTACTTATCTGATCTCAATCTGTGTTACTGTTTTCTAAGGGGTCACCTTAAATCACTACTTCATGAGATGCTTGTGGACGCATCAGAGGGTCACAGAGTGCATATTTGTTGTTGCTTTGACACACATCAAAAGTAATGACATCAGCAAGAGCCATTTCAAACAATTCTTATAGTTATCTTTCATAGTTGTTTTCCAACGCGTCAAAACTTGCATGTTTTATTGCGAATATCATCCTCTTAAAGTGATTTGCGATTTATGGTTAATATTTTTTGGCTCAGGTGCCTCTAATACTCCCCCTGAGTCTGTTATTCTAATTTTAGAGCATCCAATACTCATGGTAAGATTCTTTTAAATCAAGATTAAATTATTGATATACCAATGGCTGCAATTGTTTAAGAAGTGGTAGAAAGTTAGCTAAGTTTATAGCAGTGATTCTCAACCTTTTTTTTGTGGTGGCACACTTTTAACGATTTTGAAATTTGACGGCACAAAATGAAAAAAAAAATTAGTTTAAAAGTTGCTTACTTACCTATAATACACTGTGTTAAATAGTTTGTGATTATAATTTTGAATGCGGTATAAAATAATGTGCACTACAAAAGCACGTTTATTAAGGGATTAATTAGTTCTTTCGACCCATTTTTTGTTAGTGAGTAACAGTTATTTATTTTTTTGCTAGTTATTAATTGTAAGCTTATTTTTTGTTAGTTATCCTTTGTTAATTTGTTTTCATAACTATTTATTGCATAGCTTACTTTAATGATTAGCTTTTATTCCCGTTTGAAAGTTAATATTTAGCTTGCGTTCCTTTGTTAATTAATAATTTTAATAGTCATTCAATTTCCTACTTAAAATTTCAACTTTTTTTAAAATTGTCAAAGAGAATTTAAATACTTCCTTCTTATTTTAACTTATTTTGAGATTGTCAGAGACAAGACAATCGCTGACAAAGATGTTCACGCGGCTAAAGCGTGGAAAAATTATAAAAAGTATATATATATAAATATATATATATATGCTTTTTTTTAATTTAAACTTTACTCGTAATAAAAAAAAAGCATTATAATTTTTATTGTATCATTTCCAATATTTGGCGGAACATTTTAAGAATTTGGCGGCACACAAAAGCGCGGCGGCACAGTGGTTGAGAATCACTGGTTTATAGAGCAATAAATTAGCAAAATAAAAAAGGGGATGATAAATAAAAGGTGTTAATGTATTGTTTATCAGTAAAGATTCACATAGGCAAAGTGAAGAGCAGACAATATATATGGAAAAGAAAATGGAAAAAAATAAGGTTCACACTAGCAATGAAAATTTAGTGACGCAAAAAAATCACCTCAGTTTTTTTTTTAGTGATCTATAAATAGAAAATGTTAAAAATTTTTATACTATACAACTAGTTATGAGTATGTCTTAGAAATTTTTTTTATTATACGTTAACAAGGCACGACTCTCAAATCACATTTTAGAGCAATCACTTTTTTACGTCCCCTATTCATGATAATTGCATCTTAAAACCCTAACGTTTTTTAGTGTTTGTCTCCACGTGAAATTTTACACCTAGATATTTTTAATTACGACGTTTTTGCTTTCTAATTTCAGTTTTATCGTTAATTCATATGGTTTTTTTTTTTAAAGTTGCCATCTTAGCAGTTATTTGCTATAGATCTCCACACGGTTTTTAAAACATAGACTTTTTATATATATTAACGATATGATTATCTCAAATCAATCGGTTGAGTAATCAGTTTTTGATTCACTCAATTTGTAATGGTTTTACTGTAAATCCTGGTTTTGTTGATCATATTTTTGGCATATTTCTTTTTTCTTTTTTTTCAAACAATAATATAAGAGGCATAAAAAATGTAAATATTTCAAACAACACATTTGTCTCCCATGGTTATGATTCTGGTAACATTTTTTAATGACTTAGTAACAAATGTCACTTTGTCCCCATATAGGCAAGAACCTTAGAAAAATTCAACCACCAATTATTATTATTTCACTAAAATTTTTTAATTTTTTCGATAATTAGAATTTTTTTTTTACATTCACTTTCAGTTTAAATCAAGAAGGTTTGACTTTAATACAATAATTGATAACTAAAATGTTTTTAAAAGATATTATATGTGAAATATAGTTTTTCAATTTAAAGCTTTTTTACAAAAATTACAAAAATAAATAAATGAAAAAAGAAAATTGAAGACAATGTTATTGTTGTTGTTGTCATAGGCCATTAAGGCAAGGGGTGGGATTGTTTTTTTTTCTGAAGTGCCATCTATAGCCAATAATTCGATTTTTGTCACACCTGTTTATAAGGCGGACCCATTCGCTTATCCATAGATCGTAATTTTGACCTGAACCACAGAATGATCAATCTCCAGTTCAGTAATCCCAGAGGTATAATTTGCTATGGAAACGGAAAACTTTGTGACCCAATGGATTTAACGTGCACCAGTCACCATTTACGAAACGGGGAGTCTTCGGTCAAGACAATGTTGATTAATCAAACTTAGAATTGTAAACAAAAAATTTGCAAACTTGTCTTTTTTGTCTTTCTTTGGCTTCTTGCTTTTCCCTCATTTCTTTCTGCCTCTGCAATTCTTTCTCGTGTTGTTTCTGAGCTAATTGTCTTTCTCTTTCTTTGACTACATCTTCCTGCTTAGCCTGTAAAAAAGCACAGAATTTAATTACATATGTCACAGATTGTTAAGAACTATATTTTTAGAGAAAAAAGTTCTTCATTTGATACACAACTCACAAATAAACTACTTAAATTGACTATATTATTTAAAAAAATTTGCTTTGTATATAATTAAAAATTTACTTTTTCAGAACAGAATTTGAAATAAATATTTTTAACTTGCAATTTTATAGCACATTATGGGAATTTTATAATTTTGTAAGAAAAGGTTTAATAAAAAAATTTTTCAGAAAGAAAAAAACATAATATTTTTTTCATATAATCAAAAAGATATTCAATATACCATGTTAAATTAAGTTGCAGATTTGACGTCATTCATTTGCATTTTCATATATTTATCGAACTTTTAATAGATTAGAAAAAATCTTTTTAATTATCTTCAGAAAATCTTTTTAGCAAAATATACTGTCATAATTAAATTTAGAATATATACAAAATCAATAAAGTCACATTGGTCAGAATAGAAGAAATCCTTTTATCTTTGGAGTATCTTTGAAAAAAATAAACATACAGTTGAACTCTCATTATCAAATGCGACACTTTGTTTTATAGACACCCTTTTTGATGAATGTTAAAAAAGTTCTGACAAATATTGCTCCTAGTTACATTGTGATTTAAATAAAACTTAAGAAATTTAACTGGTGACAAATATGTAACAAACAAACACTAAACAAAATGAAAAATCACATTTTTATTAAGTTAAATATAAAAAGTCTTCATGAGTACTTTTCATCTCCCTCATAAAAAAAAATTAAACATGGAATTTTTTTATTTGAATAAACATTCATATTAATATTTCAGTTAAAAATTCTAATAGGTTCATTTGACAGATGAGCATCATAGAAGATATACTTTAGTATGTAAGTATATGCAACTAAAACTTTTGAAATGATAAATTATCAAATTGAATCTTAGCAACGAAACTTTTCCAATATTTTTTCTTTTTTAATCAAACATAAATCAGATAACCACATGGAATTTTTAATAATATTAAAATGTATATTATTTTGTAGGGGTGAAACTGATAAAAAAATATTAAAATCATTAAACTGTATTTATATATGTATATATTTAAAAAAAAGCATGTTTTACTTAAAAAAAATTTGGAAAATTGGTACAATAATACAATAACAATTGTTTAACAAAATTGATTTGGCTTTCATAAAATACTATTCATTAAAATATTGAGTATTATGGTGCTGAAACTATAAATGACACACAAATAAAGTTTTATTCATAATATCATCAACTTCTTTGTAATTACCTTCATTTCATCGAGTGTCACTAAACCAATGGTACTCGATTTCAGCTGCTGTTCAACTGCATCATAATGAGCAGCAAATTTGTTTTCAATATCAGACAATTTCATTTCTTCTTCAATTTTTCTTTTTCTATGTTCCAATTCTTCTAGAGCTTTTTCTCTCTTTTTTTTCAATTGTAAAGCCCTGCCAGCTTCACTGGCTGCACCTTTATATAAGGCCATGGTCTAATCAGGTATTCCTAAAATGAAATTAGTTATATGTTTAAATGAAACTAGAGAAAGAAAATAATTGTATTTTCCATTTTACCAGTACATACAATAAAATCGCCTAAGCAAACTCACCAAATGCCAATAAATTCAATTTTTATAAGGAAAAGCTATTTAAAAAAATAAATAAATTAGTTGAATTTACTTGAAAAAAAATAGTACCAAAACTTTTATTTATACATATAGAGAAAAAAAAAGAATTATTTAAGAGAGTGCTGATTTTAATATGATTTAATAAACCATTTGTAGCTATTTTACACAGACTTTAGATAGCTCACTTAATTTTTAACTACAGTTGAATTCCTCATTGTTATTTTGATAATATGAATTACAATATCTTCTGACCACTTACGTAATTTTTTTATGATATGTTAATGCTTATTAAGTGCAGAAATGCAGTAATTTGCCTGATGAAATAAAATTGAATGGAATACTGCTGTGTGATAACTGAGCAATTCTTAGATAGTTTTCCATAGTTACGTATGTAATTTTTTACAATAATGTTAAATTTTTCTGTTAGTATATGCTTATTGAGTATCAATAATACATAAAAGGTTTAAATTCCAAATAATAGATTTCAATGATTTTCTTTTTAATTAAAGAAAAAAAAGTTTCAATATATTTAGTTGCATGAAGATTAACTTTAACATTCTAAACACAATTAACTTTTTAACAATTGTAGTTCATAAAAGCATATAAAATAAAAAAAATTACTGAACAAATTAAAAATATTTCAATTTTTCAGAAATTTAATTTTTAACTAAGCTTAATTATATACACTATTTTAAATTTAACAATATTTTGACCTTGCTTCTATAGACTTAAGTATTAGATAAATATTTATTTATCTACAATTATATTTGTGAAATTTTATCTTTATGAATTTTTAATGAGTTAAAAAGTCATAACTCTTTTGAAAGGTAAAGCTCTTTGGATCATCAGATTTTATTCCTTCAATTAAATGTCAATAAAAGTGATATTTAAGAGTATTAAAAGTAAAAAAGTGGAGAGTTGTTTAAATAACAAAATGTCATTAAAATCCCTTGTTTACATAAAAAGAATGCTAAATAAAACAATGAAGATTTGATGAGCGGGGATATGTTCTCTTATGTTTGAGAGTGTTACTGAAATTTCAAAACTAAAATTATGTCTACAAATAAAAATTATTTTTGTGATATTACTTATTTTTAAATTATATCAAGAAATTTTTACATTAATGGCATATAATTGCACTATACTTTTATAAAAGCAGGTCAGCAACTTTATGAAATATGCTCTAAATACTCTAATGGAGTATAAATTTCGAAAATGAATATAGAAAAGTTCCGTTAAATATTCACTTAAATAATATAATTTAAAAAAAATCTTTGTAGACGCCGATTCAACAATTTTTCTAGAAAGCACTAAGTAGTTGTTGTTGTTGTTGTTATTGACAGAAAGACAGGATCAGTTCATTTTCTGGAAACTTTTTATTTGCTAATAAATTTTGCATACAGCTTACTTTTAAGCAGTTATTTTTAAAACAAATTTAATTGAAAATTTTTTTACAGTGAAGCATTTAAGATTAAATAAAAATTCAAAACCTATTTTTTGTAACTCATAAACACTCACTTTTTTCCCGAAAGTACATTTAAATTATAAAAATAAATGAATCGTTTTACGTCGAAAATCAGTTCCAAGGCTGAACTGTTTTTGTTTTGTTTCTATAATTTTTCCCGCGCATTTTGTAAAGGAGGGAATGGGAAATAATCATTTGTTTTAGATAGATATATGTTTAACTAAAATTTAAATTATTTTATTGAATTGAATGTTTTAGCTTTGTCAATATATATTTCCATTATTTAAGAGATGGACGTCACAATTGATGAAATAGCGGAACAATTAGATGAATTTTGCATGTCTGTTCAAGATGAAGAAATATTACGAAAACGTAATACAGCAATTTCTAGTTTTTTCTTCTTTTTTAAATTAGTAATAGCTGATTTCAGTTCATATTGTTTACTAATGATATCGGTGAAATTATTTTATTGATAAATTTGTCTCGTATAATCTTTGACATCAGACTATCTATTAATTGAACTTTTTTTTTTTTTCTCTTCTTAATATAGGGTTTGAAGTCCTCCTATAAATTCTATATTTCCTAAATATATATTTTAAAATCTTAAGAAACACCCTATTCTGTCTTATCTTATCAAAATAGTCCTAAAAATCCTATTTTTTCCTACACATCGATGCCGTCACGTTATTCTGTTCATATACAATTATAGATGTAAAATACATGTTTTTTTTATAAATTGGGGTAAATACTCAAAATTCGTATATATTTGGATATTCATGAATTTCTTAGAAAATTGAATGGTTATATGTTTACAATATTACATATATTTAAGATTGTTAAGTTTTGCCTATATCGTTAAGGGTTAATTAATTATTTACTTTAAGAAGAAAAAATTATTAATAAAATTTTAATTGTTATTAAAATTTTGAGAAGAAAAATTTTTTCAGTTGAACATCTAGATTATTGAAATCATAGTGCTTTAGTTCTTGCAGTTTAATTCTCCTTGAATTCTAATTTCTATTTATAATTCACAATATTTGTGGTTTTAAACTAGGAAAATTTTGCCAGAAATATATTTTTGAAATGCACAAACTATTTGTTCATTAAATAATTCATTTTAGACAGTTATGCATGCAAAACTTTTCCTGCATATGAATATAACATAATTCTTTCTCTGATCTTCTTAGTTGTGATATCTTTCTGAATAATAATGATGCCTATTTGATTACAACTTAAATTAAATAAATATTTTCAGTATTTTCTTGTAAATATTTTCAGTTTTTGTATAATCATTACTCATTGATTTAAAAAAAAAACGGAATTTATTATTAATATGATTTTAAGAGAGGTATACTCACTTGAATATTTCAATATTTATGCATGTAAAGTTTAAATGGGATAGAGAAGCTTTTGTCTTAAAAACAGTTCTGGGGAATAAAATAACTTATTTTAAAATCATGTTTCACTTTATAGAATTACTCAATCGAGAATGTATGCATCAAGAATTATTTATTACCTTAATATCATTATAAATAATAATTAACTAAGTCAATAATAAAGTGGTGAAATTTAGTTTTTTCACTTTATTCCCAATTTTTAAGAGAATTTAAATTTCATAATTCTTGCAAAAATAATGAAAAAATATTTTTTTTTGTCACTTTTATGTATATCATCTATAGTTTTTAATGGAAAATAAATATGTTTTTCATAAATTAACTGCTATAAACTTTAGTCTGATTAGCATTTATTGAATAAGAATGTATATAACAAAAGCATGCAAATAAATATTAATTAATCTATAGCAAATTTATTTGTATTAAATATCTTTCATTCCTAACTGTTATAACTATAAAATAATACTTGATAGATTTAATAATCATAAAGTTTATCTACGTTAATTTTTTAAATAAATAAATGTTTGAGGAGTAAAATTTTATTTATTAAAAATTAATATAAACAATTGAGGTACATGTTTGCACTTTAATTTTATTATATTTATACTTTAAGTTAATTTTTGAAATTGACAAAACTTATCTCTAAAAACTCATGAAATGTTTCATATCACTCATTACAAGATGTATTATTATAAATCGCAAAATATTTTAATTTGAAAAGAATTTAATTTAAATTTAATACTGTAAATTTAGTTTAAAACTTGGAACAATGGCGGTAAAATTTATTGCAGTTCAATTTTAGTTATTACATTATTGTAATTATATTTAAAAAAATCAACATAAAGTAATAATTCTAGTAATCTTGTATTTATCCAAAAAAATCGTGTATAAATTGTTGCTTCTATCCCAGATAATATTTGATGTAAAACATATTTGTTTTGAGTCCCCTAATAACTTTTAACTTCAAATAATTTTTTTTATTTTATTGATACTTGTATTATACTAATATTTCAAAAAAAGATGCACTTATTCTCTTTAGTGGAGGATATTATGTTTAGACAAATCATGTTTAGAAAAGTTATGATTACTTTAAATAAAAATAAATCAATATTTATAACTGAGTTGTCACTTTCAGGAAATCGCCATAACTTCGCAGAGATACTGAAACAACAATCTCCCCTAAGCTTCTAAAAAGTTTAAATTATCTTATCAAAGCTGATAAAATATCTGATTCGATTTTTTTTCACCTAGTTAATTTCACCTTTTTAACTGTTAAAAAATATGCAATCGGCATGTTAAGTTTTGATTTTAAATATTTCCATCCTAACTCTGTCTTTTATTTTCAGTTAAGGAGCTTTGTTTTGTTTATCATTGTTCAGCTGAGGATATTGTTGCTGAATGGGTATCCTATTGTGTATCAAAAACTGTGAAGAAGGAGTGCATCCCACCCACACTACAACTTCTAGATCAGTTGGATAAAGAAGTACATAAATCCTTTCATTTCATAAATCAATACCAGACAATTCATTAAGTTGAATGTTTAGTAATTCCTACTGCTAAATTGAAAATGTGTTCCAGAGGGGAGTGTAGCGTTTTTAAAAAGTACTTAACGGGTGCTTTTTTTTTCGATTTTCATTTTGTTAAAAACCCTTAAAGGCAGGGGTGTAAAAAAACCCTTGTTTTTCCAGAAAAACCCTACTTGGGTTGGTTTTATTGGGCTTTTCTGGGTTTTATTGAACTTTTCTGGGTTTTTCATGTTTCATTGGAGTTTCTTTTTAAAAGAGAGGGCAGGGATAAGTACCTTATTTTAAAAAAGCTTATTTAAATGTTAACAATTCAGTTTAATTTTATGAATTGACTTAACATATAGGTAATTAAAGTGTAATTTTAATACAAATAAATTGGTGCAAAAGTCTGAAAGTTTCTTCTGACATCACGATACAAAATGTTATATGTACTCACATACATCACCTATTTGAAACTTATTTTTAACACTTTTTATTTATATTTTAATCTTAAAAAATATTGGAGGAATTTTTTTTCTTCTTTTTGGCATGGAAAGCGAATTAAAGGCGCTGACTGATCAATGTCCGTGCAGTCAAATCTAGCCAGCAAGGTCACTCACATGTCCAAAAACAGTTTTTTCACCTTAGGTTCATTTTTTTAGGCTAGACTACATATATATATTTCTATAGAAATCAATTTTAGTAAAAGCCACTTTAGGGTGGGTTTGTGGCATGTATGTTATGCAAATTATTGTTTAATGTTAATGCAGCAATTTAAGTTTCTGATTTATATTATGTTTTTTTATTATTTTTCCCTAGTAACAATTTTACCATGGCCCCAGATGGGCTCAATATTGGTCCTATATGAACATGCACCGAGGGACCAATATTAGGATGTCTAGATTTATAAATATTGGTTCTATATAAGGCCAATATCGGCCTATATACGACCAATGTAAGGCTTATATTGGATGAATAATGATTATAAAATATCAAGTGAATTTGATAACTTGATATCAGGTAAATATTGGTTGCAAAGTGACTATAAACTATCTAGTGAATAGGACTATTCTGTAGAGGGCCAAGATCGGAAAATAACGGCCTTTTAAACTTGAGCCAAGTTTCGTGAATATTGGTCCAATGAGGACCAAAGCATGGGTGCAAGTCTTCTATCCCCAGGACGGATTTCCGTCTTTTGAAAATGTCCGCGGACGGAAGTAAGACGAAAACAAGACTGACTCGAAGACGGAAATCGGAATTTTTTTTTTTCTTTCTGTCCTTAAAAATACTTATTAGGTCTCCGTTATTGGTCTACTTTCTTATGTCCTGTTGTTATTTTATCAAAGGACAGATGAACAGGGTGTATAAAAATCATGATTTTTTTTTAAAAATCAAAAAAATCGGATTTTTTTTATTTTAATCGGATTTTTTTGATTTTAATCATGATTTTTTTATAATTTCAATTCTGTGGACTGTAATCAATTTTGTGTACCATAGATTTAAAGTTATATTGTATTACTATTGTTACTTATGGTATACATTGGAAATAAACATTACTAACCATTATCAACAAAATATTTCTTAATAATTTAAAAGCAAAAGGTGAAATAAGAAATAAACAATAACAAAGTGATTTCAAACTACAAATCAAGAAAGAAATTGTTTATCAAACAATATGTGATAATTATTAATTCTACATCTACAATATCAAATTATGTAAACAATCATTTAATTAGTTTTATTTAAAGATTTAAACATAAGGACTAATTTAGCTGCCTTTTCTACACCCAATTGATTCTGTAGTTTAGTATGTACAAGTCCAAAAGTGGAAAACATCCTCTCTATCCCTGCAGTTGTTCCTTTTGCAGTACATAACAACTGTATTGCATCAAACTCTTTTTGACCTACACAGTTCTTTAGAAGCGCAATTGATTTCCACCATTCCAAGATGTTTAAAGATTCTAGAGATTCTTTATCAAACAAAGTTCCATTAAACGGAGGAGAGCGTACAATGAATTTTAGCAAAATACTTAATAAGGAGGTTTCTCCATACTTTTCTTTAACAAAGTTTGCAGCTTGATCTTTTTCATTTAGTGTTAAACATTGTACTTCAGAATTAGGATCCAAGAGGTAAGCTAGGAAATGAGCTGGTGTTAACGCTTGCTCATATCGTTTAGTAAAAAAAATTTTGCAGCAATTATTATTAGAATCTTTCAGAGTTTGATTAAAATCAGTGATTTTTTTAAAAAAATCATTTGATTTAAATCATGATTTTAATCAATGATTTTAATCATTTGATTAAAATCATTTACACCCTGCAGATGAATAAATATTTTTTGTACAGTATTTAAACTTGATGTATTATGGTAAAGCTTTCTTAGATAGTTTGCATATGTCGAGGGGGTATTGTGCATGTTAGGTATTTCAGTCAAAAAATTTTCAGTCTTGGCTTTCTTTCCAACTTGCACCCATGGACCCAAGTTATTTTGCTGCTAGGGTTATTATAAAAAATTCAATAACCTTTGTATCTGTTAAGCAATATAATAGATAAATGTAGCATCAAGCTTCTGTGTATTAAATTTAGTAATGTTATTAAAGTACACTGTAAGATATAATGTCATAAATTTTTAATTGATTTATTTTTATTTTTAGAAAGAAATGAGCTCCAAAACTTCCAAATCAAGAAAATCTCAATCAGTATCAACTCCAGTTTACAATTCTAAAACAATGTATCCTTTCATATTTGAAGTGAGAGCAACGAACTAATTAAAAATAGTAAAGTTTTTAATAAAATAATTTCTATGCAATCTTTTAAGTAAAAAAAAAAAAGTTCTGTTAAAAGAAATTTCATTTCTTCACTTAAAATGCTGTTTTACATGGTTTCATGCTAATAATTTTTGTTTAAAAAATATTATATATAAGATTTTTGTTAGCTACTGTTTACATTATTCAGTTTTATAAAATATTTAGATTATCATCTACTGTGCATTTTTTTTTTTTTAAATNTTTTTTTTTTTTTTTTTTTTTTTGTTCAAATATCTATTTTTTTTTACTTTGTTTATATAACTCTAATTTATTATCAGGGTAATTGTGAATTTGAGCAAAAGTATGGGAGTTATTCTAATATAGTTAATTTCAGTTCGAGCTAATCATTTCAAAGTTTTAGTGTTAATGAAACTTGGGGTGAACGAATATTTATATTAAAATGAGGCAGAAGATTTGTGAGATGAAATATCCCAGATAGGTGTAGAAAAAAAATTTGCTAAGGCTAAAATACGATGAAAAAAGTTTCGGTTTTTATGCTTGCAATTATTGTTGACATTCAAAATTGGTGTTTTTAGTCTGGTGAATTTCTCCTCTCACCCCCTATGCAAATGTGTATCCTTAAAATAACCATAGATCTTCTGAACACTTTCAATCTCCAACAATGGTAAGGAAGTTAACATAATAGATTTAACTTTTATTTTCCATGAAACAATGAATATGTACACGTTTATTTATTCTGATTAGGACAATCGAAGAAATTTGTCACTTGATAAAAGTCCTCAGTTTTCTCCCAGTTCTATGACTCCTTCAGGGTATAGTATGATTTTAATGTGTTGAATGTTTTATACTTTAAATTTTTAGTTACTTTGTGTTGTATGAAATGCTTTATTATTTTACATTTGATTTTGTTCATTACTTTGTGAAAAGTTACTATTCAAATACATACTGATTAATATTATTTATACAGTATGTTTCACAAAAATTGGGTGAAACTTTAAAAGGTGATTGTAAACACTCAAACAAATAAACTTCATTGAAGAATGCATGTGTTCAGAGTAGAAACACAAAAGGCTGTTGTACAAGCCAAAATTATACAAAGAACAATTAAGTGACAAAAGCAAGTTGTATTAAAATTACGTAACAGAGGATTTGAAAAAGGAAAAAAAAAACAGCCATTAACAGTTGCTGTGCATGCAATTCAAGTGTGAAGAAAGGTTTTGCCTTTTTGTATGTGAAGTTTTGCCTGTATTTTTTTAAACACCCTGTATAGTAAAACTTTTTTAATGATTGAAAAAATTAATAATCCATAAATTCTCTTCAGTAAATACGAATGTAGTTGAGCCGCATGGTATATATTGATGTTACATAGGTAGGCAACAGCAAAAATATTATTCTGGGAAACAAAGGTATTCCGAAATCATTGATTCAAACAAATTGAGAAATCAGAATTTTATGAATATTTTCACTAGCATAATAAACTAGTAAAATGAAAGAAAATTAGTTTGATTCACTTTTTTTTTTAATGTGCAGGAATTATTGTTACTATTTAATTGCTTCTTCCATAAATTGGATTCCTGTCCGAATAACAAATAAAGCACAGCAATAGTTTTATTATTATTACTAATTACCATATTTCTTGCTCTATTAGCAGCTCCCGCCAATAGATGTAAGTTGACGTACTATGTATTATTTCCTGGTTTTTATAATTCAGTCAATCTCGGCTTTAGCACAATTTAATGTTTTTAGTAAAGAGCTTCCTTCTCCAGGGTGAATAGTGGTGCTTGTTTTTTAAAAGCCCTTAAATGTACTTTTTTATTGTGTGTTTTTAAAAAGTGCTTAATTTTCCCTTTTCAAAAAAGAGATTTTTTTTTCTTTACCATGTCGATTTTCGCCATGAATTAGGCAAAAACGCGGTTTTCACATTCTTCTTTTGAACATTCAAACTCAATGCATTTCAGTGTACTGTCGATCTGTGGCGTATGAAGGCGCCATCCACATGTGCGTATATTTAGCTGGGCTCGGTGAGATTCGTGAACTCTCATGTGCTATTCAGCTGCATTTTGCAAGGTATTCTCGATTTCAGGCTTCATTTTCTACCCTCTTAAATCAAACCGAAAAATCTCTCGTATCTCTTTATGATAATATAATCAAGAACAGAGTTCTTAGTCAGAAACTAGTATTTTATCATAATCATGTAAAGTCTTTGAAAATCATTTTGCTTTTTGTTAATGTATATAGTGCTTAAAAATATTTTTTTAGTGCTTAAAAAGTACTTAAAATGTGCTTATTTTTTTATGAAGAATTTGGCTTCACACCCTGTTCTCCTTAAGTAAAAATTTCATGTTTTATTTTTCAGTTATACACCATCCCGAAAATATGGATCAAGGAATAATGCTGGAGACGTCTGCCTATCTTTCGGATCTGCTAATGTAGAGTGGATGCATTCTGATGAAATTTTCTGTAGTATAACTGCCTTTAAAGAAAGTGTTGCTCTTCAAAAACCATATAATTATATGTGTGAAAAATTAAGAGACTATGCTTCCATTCTAAATGACATGATTCAGGATGCTGCAAAGTTGTTTGAAGAAAAAAATAATATTGAAGATTGGGGTCATATTCAATTGCCATCTATGGTAAACAAAAAATATCTTTTTCAGGCTTTCCACAGGCGACTATTTACAACTATTTTCAGCCTGTAGCGACTATGGCAACTTTTTTTTTCTTTCCTCAAAAGGCTAAAAAAAACTCCTTTTTTCAGGAAAAAGAGACTATTGGGAGACTTTTCTGTGCTCCTAGTGATGTTTTTTAACATAAATCAGGTTGACAACCTGCATCCTGCTGTATCATCTGAACACAATGCCTTTTTTTTTCCTTAAAAAATTAAAAAATTTTGAATTGCAAATTTGATTTATCACTTTTTAATGAGTTCAATTTGCACAAATTCCATTGTATTTTGTTTCTCGGTCGCCTTTTCAACTGTTATTGCTACAAAATTCTGTATGATTTTAAAAGGCCCAATTTTTAATACATTATTATGATCCGTGAATTTCGAATTTGAATCATCACTTTTCACACTATATATATATTTGCTAAATCATTTATTGATGAAAGGGAAATTTTTTTCGAAAAGGGAAATTTTTATTTTAATGAAAAAGTACTTTTTTGAATTATTTAATTAATTTTCTGCAAATACACTAATTTTTTTTGTTATGAAAATTTAGTGCTAGAACACTAAAGTTTATATAAAAATTATCATATTTGCCACCAAAATGGATTATGGTGTATGACAATAAGTCATTTAATAAAATTTTAGTCATATTATTGAAAAATTTTTGTTCTTATTTAGGCAACTATTTTCATGCTTTAGGCTACTAAAAGCAACTATTAGCTCATTTTTTCCTTTGGCAACCCTGCTTTTTGGATTAACAAAATAATGATCTTAGCAATCAAGAAGTGCTTCATTCAGCATGTGCTCTATTTGACCTTGTTTTAAGAAAAAATATATTAATTACCCAAATATTTCAAATAATTGGATCTCTACTGTAGAATTTAATCTTATTTTATTATTATTTTGCAAATGTTGTATTTTCCGACCTATTCAGCCATTACTATTGTTTGATTATCTGATTAAAAATTTACAAAACTCCCCTAAAGCTAATATTATATTTTTTTAATTTTTCTCCTCGCAAAGCAGCTTTCAAGCAAAAATTATTGTGTATCTTAATTCTTATTATTGCATGTCTTTTTATTCTATTTTTGCAATGTCATATCTATGTTTTTATTTTTTTAAAGTATTTAATTGTTGAATTTATGAATAATTGTAATAATTTTTCGATGAATGTTTGTTTCTTAAAACAGGAAACTGTTCCGGTTGTCGGACGTATTTGTTCAGACAATACTGGTCGATTAAGTGCATCTTCGTTGTTGTTAGAAGGATCTCAGGAAACGAGCTCTGGGCAATGCATTCCTTTGGATGTTAGCAGTTTAAAACAATTTTCTTTCTTCCCTGGACAGGTATAACATTAAAAAGAAGAAGAAAAATTACCATTTACTTAGTTTTAGTTAGAGTGAAATACAAAACTTGCATTGATCAAAATATTTTCTCCTTGTTCTGATCCAAGAAATAAAAATTCAAATATATGGCAGTAACTCCCAATAAAAAATAGACAACAAAATCACACGAATCGGGCACTTCAAAGAGATGTTTCGAGGATTGCTTGTTGTAATAAATGATATTGTTTTTAAAATATCAGATTTTAAATACTTTGTGAAAATCAGAAGCAATAACTGCCTAAGAATCGATCGAATAATGATAGGATCACTGCATCAAAAAACAAATAGTGTAATGCGCAATTAAAATTTCTCCTTTTGTAAAAAATAAATCAGGATTTTTAGAAGCCGTGTGATAATTAGTATCAATAACAGAGGAAAAAATACCATGGATTTACAATACTATCGGCGTAAATTGAGTGCTTCAAAAACTGGTTATGCACTTTAATGAGCGATTTGAATTTCACGGGCTGAAATAATGTCAAATGAGAATTACCAGAATTTCAAAAAGTGCTAGGAAATCCATAGCTGGAAAACTGGAATCGTCACATTAAAGGTAAATTAATCAAATTCGAGAAAGGCATATTTTGAAAATAATTCTACTGGGAAAAAAAACATATTTTGAAATATTCTCAGGGATGTAAGAAAAAGCTGAAATCCGCTTTTTTCTCTTAATTTTATAAAACTTCTGACAATGTTCCAAAAACGTTAGTTTTTGGGTTCAATTATTACAGAACCCTCCCATAACTACTGAAACCCAAATAGCCGTACGAGGTACAAAATTTTTTTCCCATGCTGTTGCCTCCTGAGAAAGCATGATCATCAGGAGAAAAATGGGTGGAGCTTCGACGAGTGTGCCATTGCCTTGCCCATGACTTCCGCTGTGGAGCAGAAAGGGTGAGGCTCTTGGTTGTTGAGAAATTCGAAATTCCACCTTTTTCCTTGTGTCTCATATCATTTGATGCATGATTTCTATAGGAATAATCATCGACTTATCAACAGTGGGTGATTTGATTACTCTTAACTGCCAAAAAATTTTATCTCTTATTCAAAAATAAGGGGAAGACTTATACATAGAAATAAACCATAAATAGTTTTTAAGAAATATAACTTAAATCATGTTGTACTTCTGAAATGACTTAAAAATTTATTGAAATTTATTATATAGTGAAACTTCTTTTATATGTTGAAACTTATTTTACTGTTAAAAAAAATACTTAAGAATATAGATTATCAGTTTTTATACCTCAATTTGCATCACTATTAAAAAAAATTTATCTTTTGTTACTGAGGCAAAGAATTGGCATTTGTTAACATTTTAAAGTTTCTTTAATAACTTTTCAGATTATTGCTGGTACTGGGGTTAATAACTTGGGAAAAAAGTTTATTTTGAAAAGCCTATTTGAGGTATGTATTTATCACTAAAAATGATATACTTGACTGTCTATGTTATGTCAAAACCTTTAACTTATTGAATAAGCTGCTCTGTTAATTTCTACTCTTTTTTTTTATGCAGTGAATTAGAACTTTCATCACAAGTACAGCTAACTTGCTCCATTTCATATTAACTTAAACTTAGTTGCTCATCTTAAATTTATAATTGAACATCGTAAATTTATACCTCTGTAATCTAAAATGTCAAATAATCTGAATTGATGTTATTTTAAATTAAGAATCCTACGAATTCTGATGATAAAATAATTTTGCAAAATCGTAGCGAGTACTAGAGTTGTTTAAGCGTATAATTCAAATGTCATATAAAGTTTAATATAGTAAAAGGAGGGGGGAAAAGTGCAAATTTTTGTTGTATTGCAACAACGAAAATTTAAATGTGAGAATCCTAATGTATGTGAATCAGTTGGTTGCACAATTTGTTTCCATTTTCACAGGTTGTCTAGAAATGACTGGAGAAAGTTTCAAACCAAACATGTGTAAGAAAAATGGTTATGTTAACCTTGCATAATATAATATTTCTGCACACAGAATAGTGTGTGGCATATTTTCCTTACATTTTTAGAACACAATAATGGCCTCCTTTTTCATCAGGCTTGAGTCCAGTGTATTTGTTTGGTTCATCTTTAGGCAAAAATTTGTGCTAATCTTTAAATGAATCTGGCATTCCTATAAAAATGATTTGAAGCGAATGGTACTAAATATTGATTGGTAAGCTGAGATTAATAACAAAAAATTTTGTTACATGTTTACTACTCTGCATTAATGCTAAAAGTTGTCACTTCGACATTTTTGTTAGTATATTGCTGGTAGTAATGTTTCTTTGATTATTTGAAAGTTTGGTTGTGCCATTTCAATAAGCATTCTAATTATTCTGATATCTCTTTGAATTATTTCTTTGCCTCATAAAAAATGATCAAAAAATTCCAGATGCATTTCAATAAAACATGAATGATATAATCTTATCCTGTTAATCTATATCATAGGTTCTCAACCTTTTTAACGTTGCCGCCCCCTTAAGGAGCAAAAAATATTTCAACGCCCCCCTTTATAAAAATCCTGTTATTTTGAGCATGGGGACGGAGGGATGTGTGATGAATTATAAGAGGCAAATTTTTTAAGCAATTTTTTTACGCTTTCAATTTGTTTGGTTTTTTAAAAAAGAATAAATTAACTCGATAATTTTCTCACTGCAGGTAATCGCCGTCTATTTGTTATGATCAAAATAAACACGTTTAATGAAAAAAAAATACAACTAAGAAACCTATGCTTAAAAAGAATAATTTATTCTAAATTAGATAATTAAAATAACACCCAAAATAATTTTGTTACACTAAAAAGTAGTATCAACGAAACATTCAAGTAACTATGTTAGTGGGATGATTGTACTTAATGGTTCGGAACCAATTCCTTAACGCTCACTTCAATACTTTTAGTGAGATGAAAATGCAAATACCCACGTTTGCACAATTTCGAGTCTATTTCTTCTTTTTGTGACAAGATCGGTAACAGCACTGAATCCACATTCGACAAGTTAGGAGGCAGGGAAGGCAATTTTAAAAAAAATAGTGCGTGGAATCCCTCCGAAGGAAGAAGTTAAACTTCGTAACCTGCGACGTTAATTGTAGAAGAATCAGTAGTCGTAGAAGGATCACTAGTTCTATTCAACGACTCTTTTTTCTGCTCCCTCGCTTCCGTGCTCTGTAATAACGGTAATATTGTGCATTTTTCCCTCCTGGACCTCTTGAAACAGTGGAAGTGCTTGTGGTTGCCTCATCGTCTCGCCCTGGAAAATGGATTGTTTTCACTCATTTTTTACAATTGTTATCCACTAAATTAGAAAATAAAAAATACTATCCTATTAAATTATATGTGTATCAAAACAAACTAAAAAAATATTTATAGAAAAACAATACTTTTATTATTTTTATGCTAGTGAGAACCAAAACAATATGGAAATGAATGAGGGAAA